AAAATTTTGAATGATATAATCAGAAAGCAAAAAAACAAAGTTTATTCCCGTAATATTTTCTTGTCCCCTATAGATGTTGTGACTTTCTCTTTTTATAGTTAATTTTAAGAGAAAGCGTAATGCCTTTGTCTTAATGAGGCAATTACGAGCAATGAATGACATTGAAAGAAACGTTACTCAATCATTCATATTAAATACAAATTCTCTAACGTATTTGGCATTTAATGCTGAATTTGGACTCTTTTTCGCTATCAGATTCTTCAATTCCTTCTGATCTTCGAACTTTAAATGACTCGAACAGGTACGAGTCTCGTTTCATTTGAATAATAGCTCGTGCCTTTAAGTATCTTCTCTCCCGCATCTGTTGTTGCTCGTGCCTTCTAACTGATTACCACGCTTTGACTATTTGACCGATCCACGTGTCATGACACGTCATCTTCAATATTTAAATTCAGTTTTTTCCCAATACAACAATATTCTCTTTACCGGGACTTCATATTCATTTGAGTATTTCCTTCTTCCAGTCGAGAGCAGAGAGTCTAGATATACAGTATTAAAGTATTTTCATTACCATCGAGCTATAATGGATGGACATGCCCCTATTAGGCAACCTCTGATCAGATGGTAAGTTATATACCGAGCCTGCTGTGGCCGAGCTCCTATGAGCGAGCCTACTACGACAGAGCAGATATATATACATACCGAGACTTATAGGGCCGGACAGCTATTTTACTCACTATATTGAGAGAGTTGAGTCAGTATCAGCTGATGAGCATATCCTCAGATTTTTTTTGATCCCCAGTTGCTTTCAGTTATTATATTATCAGTTCAGTTTCAGCTTCAGCATATTGCCTTACATACTCGGTACATTATTTCGTACTGACGTCCCTTTCTGGGGGCGCTGCATTTCATGCGTGCAGGTTAAGACAGACAGACGGGTAGACCTCCTCAGTAGATGTTGCCCGAGTTCAGCTTTATCGATAAGCTCCCCTTCTTTTGGAGTTGCCGGGTCTAGCAGTGTGGTGTATATCTTATGTATATATGTAGATAGGTTATGGGTAGGTCGGGGCCCTGTTCCGCTCACAGTACATCTATTAGTAGAGGCTTGTAGACATATCCTGTCGGTTAGTGCAGTATGTTGGGCTTGTAGGCCCTGTACGTATATTTTGTTGGCCTGTCAGTTGTAGTAATTATGACGGCCTTGCCGGCCCAGCTTTATGTTGACATTAGTCAGTGTTAGTCTCCATTTAGTTTTATATTTTGCATCGCACATTATCTTGTAATGTGGCCCATAGCCAAAGTATGACATTACATGTACAAAGTCTCTTAGTCGCAAGTCGTACGCAAGGATAGATGAGGCACTAGGTTCCGGTCTCGCCCCTTGGGCTCGGGGTGTGACATGGACCTTGCGCTTGAAAATAATAAAATGGACTAATTTAACTTGTAAAGCCGAAATTAATTATTTAGCCCTTAAGATGATTGGCTCATGTCATTTAAGGAGACACCTTTAAATATATAAAACACGTTTTAAAAGGGCGTTTTACCTCAAAAAATTCAACCCCCCCTCCCCCCGGATTGGGCATTGCCTTATAAAACGCGTTTTATATATTTGAATTATTGTTATGTCAGTTAAGCGCAGAAGAGTTATTGGTGGGCCCACAAAATAAGTAAAGCGCATTTCATAAAAGTGTTTTATATAAAACGCGATTTTAAAAGGCGCTTTACCTTAACGTCCAAAACAGGCGTTAAAGTAAAGCGCGCTTTAAAACCGCGTTTTATATAGTTTGGTCACTAATTTTTTTCCCGCTTATTTCGGTCTTTGAGTCCAAAAAAGTAACATTTAGGTTCCGAACTCTGCAAAGTGGGGGATGTCAGTGGATCAGACATGTGCACTATGTGATAAAGACTCTGTTACTTATACTTTGAATGTGAATTCTCAAAGAAAATCAAATGTAGTGGCAAAGTATCACCAGACCATTGAAACCATGGTAAGAGGAAGTAGAATGGGCAAGCAATGTGATGAGAAGCAACAATCCAGTTGCTCAAGCATTTAGAGTGACACTTGTTGTGAGTGTGTACTATACTTGACAAGAAAGGAATCTCAGGATCTTCCAACACAAGCAGAGACCTGTTGAGGTCATAATCAGACAACTGGTGCAAGACATATTCTATCAAGGAAGTAGGAATCATAAGATTGGCAACAAGAGCTCCCTCACTGCCATTTCCATTGCCTTTAGCCTCAGGTTTTGGACCTTAGTAATGACCCCATAGATCTTCTTGAACTCAGATAGGATGCAAGCCTTTACAGACTCAATACTCTTGTCTTGTGTGACTCATTAAACCAAATGGAAAAATGTAAGATACAATTGGACTGAATCTCAGCCCTTTCCTCATCAATTATAGCCTCTTCAATACGCAACTCACTCATCAATTGTGGTAACACCACCAACTTTGTAACCAAGTGCAACTAAGATTTTGCAAATGCAGAGGAATTAGCCAAGGACTGAAATTATACAGGGTCGCCAGCCGCCTCGCCAAGACATTATGGCCAGTTCTTGTGGAGAAGTCCATTTGGATTTGGGCATGATTAATTGGGCCAGTTCTTCACCTGCTTAAATCACATCGACTTAAATTAATATGAAGACATTGTAGATTCTAACCCATGGTAATAGTAAGAATTTTGATATATCATTAAGATAATGTGGCCATTCTTTCAACTGTGACAGCCAATACCCTCTAACAATGTACTACTCAATATCTTTGATGAATTTTCCAAAGCAGACGAAGCTAATGTATATACATGGTGATATCCATGTTGACATTCCAACTGCAAGCATGATCTGGAATTTAGATGTTAAGTGTTTTTTGTAATATTGCCATAGTTAATCTAGTTAAGACTAAGTCCTGAGACTTGGACTATTATTCACAATTGTCATTGACAAAGTACCAGAAAAGGTAAGAAGAATGAAAGTAATAACACTCCTCGTATTCAATATTATGATGCTTTTTTACATTTAAAGGTTGAAAGACAAAAAGGAAAAAAACAAACTGTACGCAAACCACTAAACAATTTCTCATAATAAATGCAATGCAAACAAAACTAAAGTTGCCGACTGAATCAAGCTCCTAGAAAGAAGTTGTAATTTGTTCAATGTAACAGCTGAATCAGTATTTGATGTTGCAATACTTCCTCTATTAAGTGTTGAAATATGTTCCACTATTTTTGTTGGTTCTGTTTTGGAATCTCCACAATGTCCAATCCCTGAATCCAACAAAGTCTCTAAATCATCTCCAAGACCATTCTCTTTATTATAGCATAGCCCTTCATTATTAGAAAGCTTCATTTTCCTTCTCATTCTCCAAACCATATCTCTCTTAAATGGGATAGGTCCACTTAACATGTTGTTGTTTAGCCTAAGCTCACTTAGGCTATTTAAATTACCAAAACTTAATGGGATTGAGCCATTAAATTGATTCCCATCAAGATGAAGGACTCGAATTTTAGGCAACCGGCCTAGAGATCTCGGTATTGGACCTTGAAGATTCATATTCGTTAAACCTAATATCATCAAGTCCCTGAAACCATCAAACGCGTTATCTGGTAGAGTAGCAGAGTCCATTGGATTACTGTTGAGGACTAACACTTGGAGAAAATTCAATTTCTTGAGCGAGACTGGGAATGGACCTCTTAGACTGTTGTAGCTCAAATCCATGAGGATGAGATCGTTTAATTTGTCGATGGAGTTAGGTATTGAGCCTGAGAGGCGATTGCGACTCAAGTCTAGCTTTATAAGCGAATGACACTTCATGAGTGTGAATGGAATTGAACCCACGAGGTGATTTTGGTTAAGGTCTAGCACATTTAACTGAGGGAAAGTCAAACTCGGGATTGAACCGGTTAGTTTGTTATCACTCAAATCTAACGACCTCAAACCGGTGATCCGGCCTAAAGAAACCGGTATTGAACCGTTGAGATTATTTTTGTGAAGATCAAGGACTCTCAAACTAGTTAAGTTACCCAACTCATTTGGAATGGGCCCTGTGAACCCATTTTCTCTTAAAACTAGTGTCTGCAAAGTGGGCCCTAATTGGGCCAGAAATGCTGGAATGGGCTGAGGATTGTTACTGAAGCAACGATAGAAGAATAAAGTCCGAAGGTGTGGAAGTTTTGTAACAGAAGGTGAAATGAAAGAATGAGTTGAATCACAAGTAGGAAATGCTGTATCATCGGACAATGCTCCAAAAGAGAGCGATACAACATGGTAGACGTTGTCGTCGTCCGGCATACACTCGATACCGTGCCATCGGCCACGACAAACGTCGGGGATATCGGTGGCCCAGTCGTTCCCCGTGGCCCTCATAATGTCGTAAACAGCTTCTTGTTCACGGGGATCAGTTCGTGCGCGGTTATTGTTCATAGAGAAGCCGGTTTGTGGTGCATCAACCAGAGCTGAAGGCGTACCAGAATCGGACATTATAACGGTGAATGACCAGCCTAGAGGAAAGAAAAAAAGAGGTAGTAGTAAAGTTGTTTGTATTGAGAGAAAAAAGGCCATGTTAGAAGGAAAAATGTTTGGAACATAAATGAAGTGATAAAATTGTCTGCATTTCTGGGGTATTTTATAAGAGAGGGGAAATTTATTGAATTCCCAGGTTGGAGAGTGTGACAAGTGAATAAAAAATGGTGGGTGCATAAATTTAAGTAGGATAATTATGGATTCACGAGTAAGAGGAGGAGATGAAATAAATGCAGAGTTATGTGTCACTGAGCATTTATCACAATCACGGGGTTGAGGCTGCTTCTACGTCAGCTAATCTAGGCCCACTTACAAGTAGGCTTGGGCTCCATTATGGGGTGAGGTTTTGGGCCGAAGTTCTCAACTTATCAAGTCCATCGAAAAGAAAGGGCTTTTTTATACTTTTCGCCCGCGCCAGAAACTATTTACATTCGATAGCCGAAAAAGTATGTAAAATTTGTATAGTTTTTGTATATAACATACAGAATGTATATATATACAAAAAATATTTTTTTTGGCTATTATTTTGAAGCGGCTATGATGATAGGCTATAATTACGTATTTTTGTCGCTTATTGCACTCTAATTTACTGCACTTTAATTGAGTTTGAGCTTTAATCGCTAGTATTTTGCACTAAGTGTGTGTTTTATGCCTTGTAGGAGTGATTCCGATCTATGTAGATTTTATGGAATGAATTCAAGCTATTCTGAAGCTTTAAAGTCTGAGTAAAAGCCCAAGGATTAAGTTGGGATCGTGTTCGGGGATCAATGGATGATAGTGCACTTTAAGAACGAAACGAAGAATCAAGCAGGCATACTGCGCATTGTCCAATAAAATGCACATAACTTTTAGCTCAGAAATCCGTTTGGGCTCCACAATATATCGTTGGAAAGCTATTTAAAAGGGCTACAACTTTCATGTTTTAACAATTCCCAAATTTCCATAGCCGCGACTGCCCATTTTTGCGGCTGGTCGAAATTGCAAGGTCTCTGACAAACCCCACTACCACACCGCATGGCACATCGCCCCATGCGGCGCGCCTGTACAATTTTTATAGAGTTATTTCCCTATTTTGCGCGGGAGAAGGTATTTTCGTCTGGGCCCGACCCTACTTGGTATAAATACATGTAAAAACGTTATTTTTGTAACTTTGGACAGACTTTTGACCAAGGAAGAGCACAGAGCCTCGCGAAGGCCGGGTTTCATCTTTTCTTCCACCAACCTATTATTTTTTTATGTTTCTTTGTATGATTTGTTGTTTGGCTACCATGTCTATGTGGAGCTAAAACTTCACGTTCTAAAGTTGTGGTTCTTTCATGACTATTGTTACTCGAATATTGATTTTGATTTCTTGATTTATCGTATTGGTTTATTTATTCAATCTTGCTCTTAAATATTTGATTGCTTGATCACCAATTGAATACTATCTACGAATCTAGAGTTGAACTCGAAAGTGGGAATTCTAGATTGCATATAGGATTGAGTAGAGCATGTTCTTGAACCTGGGCATCAGGGAACGAATTCGCAATTAGGATAGACATATACCTACTTGCCTTGCTTGGTTGATGTACATGAATTATAAATGCGTTCTTGTTAGTTCTAATTCCATAGACATATAGGCGTTAGGTTAGCTTGAATAGACGAGTAAGAACTCGATAGATTCTTATGAGCAATATTAACCCTGTCAACCAATGAACTAGATGAATTAGTTAGTCAATTCAATTGAAGAATACAGTAGGAATGTTAGATAGCCCATAACCCTAGATCGTTTTCATCGCATTGATAACATAAAAATCTGCTCTTCCTTTGTTCAGAGTTCATTATTTGTTTTCTTTATTTTAGTTAGTTTAGAATCAAATATTTCTAGGTTTAATTCTTGTTAGATACTTAGGATAGTCTAATTTAGTTAATAGTTAATCACAAGTCCTCGTGGGTTCGACATCTGACTTTTAGTCACTTTATTACTTGACGATCGCGTATACTTGCGTGTGCGTTTGGCCGCAACAAATTTAGTGTCATTTTCCCGAAAAGGAAATGTATGAAAAAAAGGAGAAAAAAGGGCATATATACAAGTAAAAACTTTGGAATTAGTCTCAACATGTCTAACCAACCTTTATTTTCTTCCTAAGTGGCAAGTTATCTATAGTATGACTGTTAGTCTGTTGGTTATTATTATTTACTTCATTTCAAAGTTAAGTTCCATGGCAGTTCCTCTATAGTGTCGAATATAATTTGCATAAAGCATTTCTTCGGATAGGCTGTCTATATTATACCCTTGGGGTGCGGTCCTTCTCCAAACTCTGTGTAAATGCGGTATGCTTTATGCACCGGGTTGTCCCCTGATCCCTTATACTTTTGATGTGGTTTCTTTCTGCTTATCGTTTAAGCATCCTTGTACAGTTTTCGAGAACATCTATTAATATAGAATAGGAGAGGCAAAGAATTATTATGATGACAAGTGGCATAACATTAAATTGACACATGTAAAAAATTTGGACAATCCTCCAACTTTCTTGGAGTTTCAAAATTCAAATTCATTTAAAAATAGATGTGAATGACACGTTTTTTTTCAAAATTCAAAAATTTTAAATTTTTCAAGCAATAGAAACTACCAATAAAAACCACCAACTACTCCCACTTCCTCCACTCCCCTTCCTTTTAAAAACTAACTGAATTTCTCCTCAAGCAATAGAAACTACTAATAAAAACCACCAGCTACTCCCACTTCCTCCACTCCCATTCCTTTTAAAAACTAACTGAATTTCTCCTCTTGCAAGACACGTTTTTTTTCAAAATTGAAAAATTTTAAATTTTTCAAGCAATAGAAACTACCAATAAAAACCACCAACTACTCCCACTTCCTCCACTCCCCTTCCTTTTAAAAACTAACTGAATTTCTCCTCTTGCATATATTGGATTAGAAAAACGTATAGTTCCTTTTTTTCTTTCACCGAAAATTTGCCGGGGAAAATTTCATCCAAAATCGTTCTTTGTGATTTTTCGTTGTTCTATGAGTAAATTGCTAAGCATCTAATCATCATTTTGCAATTATGCATCTCAGGTGATGTACTTCCTTCTGCTTTTGACTTTTTCCTTTCATGTGTGAATGCTGAATATATATATATATATATATATATGTAGTTTATAAACAAAATTTGAGGGATCAAACAATTAATATCTTTAGTATGACATTGGGATGTCATGCACAATGATTGTGGGTTTTATTTGATTTTTAAAGTGTGCAATTAAAGATTTGTTCACTTTGATACAATTTGTGGATATCCTTTGTCCACATGGATACTTAAGGATATTGCATAGATTTTGGCAGCTTAAGAATGTTTTCGGCCAAAAGATCTGATACTTCAATTTTAAAATTAATTCTCTATAACTAGGCTAAGTTATTCAATTTACTAGGATCTATCTTTTATATAAATTCAATACTATTGTATTATACTTTATTTTATCAACGTAATACATAAAACTTTTCCCTTCTTTAAAATCTTTAAAACACAAGAAAGAATTTCTTAAGTTTTTGTTTGTTTCCTCGATTTAAATAGTGAAAGGAAGATTTTTTTTTTCTAGAATTCTTTCATATCAGTTTAGCCTTTATTCTTAGCAGATGGGGTTGTTTTTAAAAATGAAGTATTCTCATTAAAACTCATAAAGTATTAGGAATGATTAAACTACATGGATTAAAATTTGTAATTTGCGCGACTCTAAATGCAAAGAAACATTACCCTTTCAGTTAGTTTAGGCATGATCTTAAATATGTGAATGTAACATTGCCCGTATTTCTTTGCCAAATTCTGTCTTCATCATTGTTGTAATATTTTTGTTGAGTTTTTCGCATCGAGTTAACAATTCAGGAAGTGTAAAGTCATACATCGAGAAACAACAACTTTGGTTGTGGAAGACAGAAATCATACAAGTTTATCCAAAGTTTGATCTTTGACGTTCGATCTTTGATCATTACATGAATTCATTTGTCAGATAAAGTTTCTAGCTAGAGAAAGCAAACAATTTCGTGGAATTTGTTGTGAAAAGTGAGTTCAGTTTGCATTTGCTTAGATTTATATTCCAGAGAAAGATGGAGTTCGACGAGAATGCTTTGTTCGTAAAGCTCATTATTTTATTTTATTTTATGTAATAAATTCAAGCTAATTGAACAGAGACAGTGATTTTGTTACATATATTGTAGAGTCTTAAAGATTGTGACTATTTTTTTTTTGTTCCAAATACAGTTTAAGAAGTAGTGGTTGTTACTTTCATTAACCAATAACATATTATTTTTGATCACTTTTCATTACCATTTCAAGTAATATTTCTTATTATTTTTTAATTTTATAATTTCCCGCGCATCGTGCGGGTACGGATACTAGTTTATTGAACATAAAAATATGTCTAGTTTCAGCTATCTTGTCATGTTATAGTTAGTAATCGTTTAAGATGCGTAATCCACTTAGTCTGTTTTCAGAGAATTCCACTGTTTATTCCACCTCTCCTAGTCCTGAAATCTCTTGTAAAGTTCCTTATGGTGCTGTTGCAAATTGAGAGGCCGATTTAGGACGGATTTTGTGGATTTAACTGAACCTATTGTTTTGGACTTGAACGATGTATATATGTTCTTACTTATCTTTAGGCGATATTCTCATACTTTTTACGGACCTAAAAGTGGGACTTAGTCTCATATGACGATATACTATGACAGTTTCTAATGTTTATACAAATAATGGCATTTGTTCCAAGGGGTTTGGGGATGGCTCAACAGCCAATAGTACAAGAAGAATCATCTAGCAAGAGCTTTTTCGGCTATATGCCAAATTGCCAACAGGTAATTATCAAAGTTGTGTAAGGTTCTGCACCATATATCAGTACAGATGCTACTTTTGTATATAACTGGTCATTTTAAGTATCCACAGTATAGGGTTGGAGATTCATAAGTGTGTCTCTTTACTTAGTCTAGATGTTTGCTTTATCACACAAGGGAACCAGGGAAAATAGTGTGAATGACTACGAACATTGGTCATATGTACTGAAAGTTATTAATCCTCAGCATCTGAATATGGTGGACAAGATCCATCATCAACATTGGCTAGTGGATTGAAATAAGGAGAGCTTGGGTCAATGCATCCTGGTACTATATCAAGATCGCAACGATCACCCTGCATCAGCATAGTGTCCCTTCTAATCAAATACTGTAGCTTTAAAAATTATTAAAACAGAAATAAAGAGTTTACTTACTCCTTCCACAGACAAGTTACCAACCATAGCACATCTTGTGATCACTACATTCGTGTCCGGGAAAATTGCCTTGTCACACGCACCTTCCTGACTCAACTCCCCTGCAAGTCCCTGCACAACAAAATTTACACAGTCAATCAATTTAACACTGTGACGCCCCTGGCGAATCCCGATAAAACATGAGAGAGATGCTGGGTATATAAGTAAACAGACCTTACACCCTAGTGACGCATTTTAAAGCCGTGCAGGTCTGGTCCCAAAGTGGACAATATCACTAGTGGGTAGGCTGTTATATATGGTATCAGAGTCACTCTGCATGCAACCTTAAACGGTGGTGGGGCAAACCTTAGCAAGGACACTGAGTCCCTAAGGGGGTGAATCCCACATCGACAAAACACGGGAGAGACGTTGGGTATAGAAGTAGAAAGGCGTTACACCCTAGTGGCGTCTTTTAAAGATGTGTGGGCCTGAGCTCAAAGAGAATAATATCACTAGTGGGTTGGACTGTTACAAACATGAAAAAACCAATACAAGTTCATCATACTAGAGCTAGAAGCCAATGACCATGACTCATATATTCCTATTATAATAAAAATGACAAAAGCATGATGCAAAATCAAGCTAGTTAACTAGAGTAAAAGATAAGAACTGAATATATGCTACCTCAGTGAAGAACTCGGTTGGTTTATTTCGCCAAGCATTAGGGACTTGAAATTGTAGTCTATAGGGACCATCCCATTCGGTTCCATTCGTGAATGAGAAGATCAAACTAAGGGCTGAAATCAGAAAAAAACAAAATTTTAAAAATGGGTGAAAGATATAGTCTTCTCATGCAATTTAAGACAAGTTTCTTAACTAATAAAACTCACCATGCTTTGGGATACATATTTGAATTGTATAAATAGGAGGATCTGCTTTTCCTCTAGTTTTCATCAGCATTGCCCTAGGCTCACCACCACACATGATAGGCTGATTGAAACCTCCTGAATTTTAAGGTTCAAGAATTCAGCATTTGAATAGAGGTGTATCAACTTTTACATCACAAGTTCTAATTAACAGTCTTAATTTAAGAGTGAGTAGCATAATTAAGAAAATTGCATATACATGAAAGAAAAAAGGGAAGAAACATGTTTGATGATTTTAGTATTCTTTTAGATTCAAAATCTGAGTAAGGGCAGCCCGGTGCACTAAGCTTCCGCTATACTCGGGGTCCAGGGAAGGGCTGGATCATAAGGGTCTGCTGCACGCAACTTTACGCTGCATTTCTGCAAGAGGCTGTTTCCACGGCTCGAACCCGTGACCTCCTCGTCACATGGCAGCAACTTTATCAGTTACGCCAAGACTCCTCTTCTTGTAATCTGAGTAATTATGTGAAATGGAAATTCCTATTAGGCATCAAATTTCATAAAACAAACAAAAATTTACCATTAAAAGCAATTCCAAACTCTTCATTAGGGACCATATTGTTTGCAGCTGGATTGTAGAAAAGCTTCAGTCTCTCTCCCTATCAAAAAAAAGATTTTGGAACCTAAAATTAAAAGGCGTTCAGGCCCTATATACCAATAAAACCTATCCATATTTTAGAAATGTGAAACATACTGCAGTAGGAGGAAGACCATTCATTGTTTTCCAATAGACTGGTGCTCTTCCAAGGTCAAATTTAGCCCATGTAGGAAGTGTGTATCTGAAACATGAAAGTTTGATTGTTAAACTTCTACGCACTAGACATTTTAAAAATATTTTTACACGCGTATCAGATCACCTAAAAGATACTTAACCTAACCATCCATATTAAGTTAGAATTGTTTCCTAAAAAATAGGACAAATAACCTACCACAACATGTAATACATTAATAATATACATACAATATATATACATGGTTGGCCTATGGAAATTATTTCCTATATATATTTGATGCTTACAGTATCTCATATATAATAATTCAGAAGAAAAGAGAAAGGTGGAGCTTACTCTTTGACTTGCTCTGCAGGGGAAGTTGCAACAGCAGCTGCAACTATACCCCCACTAATCCGTACTAGTTTCCTCGATGTTGGATAACATCTTCTCAAGTGAGCTCCCATAAAACTTGTAGCTGCGTTTTCAATATACAGACATGTTAGACATTCTATCCAATTTGGTCATATGATTTAAAAAAAGAAAATTTAGTCTTTTTAACCAAGTTAGGAGTTTTTTACAACTTTTCTCTAAATCTCAATTCTCACACTTTGGTCAGATTGGAATTAATATCAAAGTTAGTGTAACAACAAGAACTAAGCATCTATCATCACAGGGCTCTTTAGTACCGATTCATCTGAACCCAGTATTTTCGACACGGAATATAAATTTATGTGTAAATGTAACTAGAATTGCAACAAATTTTTGATTGAACCCATAACTTTAACAATATAATGTGTTCAATGCTAAATATCTTAAAAGTTATACCCATAAAAATTAAATCCCGAATCCTCCTCTGGGCGACTAAAGGGAGTCAAGGGGATTCAATTGAATGTTGTACTATGCAAATAAGGCAAAAACAATTTTTTTTGGTTATATAGTCAGACTTCTCTATAACAGTATCCCTATATAACAATCATTCATTATAAAAATCAAGTTTTTTTCGGAACTGATTTTATGTTATATTATAATATATTTTTTCTATAACAGTACTTCACTATAGCAATAAAAAAATATCAGAACAAATGGAAAAAATGATAGCAAGAACGTACCATATATATTTGAAACAGATGGAGTTGCATTACTATTAGAAGCAGAACGAGTTGCTGAAAATAGGCAAGTGTTTGTTGATGCTGCAGCCATTTTGGAAGCTGTAGGATGAGAAAATTAGAGTCTGTTTAAGATAAAAGACGTGAGGTATAAATTCATTTGCAACCATACAAATATACAACTTTTTTTTTTTGCAGTATGGAGAAATATCTCAAACCCCTAGAACCGGACAAACCACTTCATTTTCACACTTAGGCATGAATCTTCAACTTCCCAAAAAATCTTGATATTTAAAGAAATATCTCTCCCTCTCTCGTTTCTCAATCCTTCCATGCTGAAAAAGCCAGCCATTTTTGTTGTCACGTACAAATTCAATAATTTTAAGTTGATAGATCCAAAGTACATGCACCAACTACTCTTTCTAACAAAAAGTGCAACTTTAAGTATGTCACGACCCGGATTTCCCACCATCCGAGTCGTGATGACGCCTACTCGTGGTAGCTAGGCAAGCCAACTTAATTACCTTTCCATCACTAGCAATTATCTTTAACAGTTTATAACATCAATATAGAACATAAAGTCTAATAAGAACAATAGCGGAAGTCTGTCTTAAAATGATGAATTTAAAACGCGAAATAGTCAAAAACAACCTCTACCCAAGATTTGGTGTCACATTACTCACGAACCACTAAGGATAAACTAAATACAAAGGTTTGAAAGAAATATAACAGCTGTCTGTCTCGAAACAAGGAGGCAACAGTCTAAAAGAAAACAATGAGAAGAGGCGCCGGGCCTGCGGACGCCTGCAAGGCTACCTCAGTCTCGTGAATATGAATCGCCTGCTTCCGAACTACTGCTGTTGCTGTTCCTCAAAACCTAGACCTGTGCAAAAATGCACAGAAGTATAGCATCAGCACAACCGACCCCATGTGCTGGTAAGTGTCTAGCCTAACCCCGGCGAAGTAGTGACGAGGCTAGACTGGACACCACATAAACCTGTGCAGTTATAGATATACAGCGGAAATCGAATACAAAGCAATTACCAACATGGGAGGGGAAACATGCTATGGGGAGTTACAATAATAACAATAATCCAGAGCAAGAACTAAAGCAACTAAGGTTCACAGTGAACATGGAATCAATACTCAAATGTAAACACATAGCCTCAATAATTGTTGCGGCGTGCAACCCGCTCCATAATTACCATTGTTGCGGCGTGCAACCCGCTCCACAATATCATTGTTGCGGCGTGCAACCCGACCCATATCATTTATCATATATCATTGTTGCGGCGCGCAACCCGATCCTCATATATTATTGTTGCGGCGCGCAACCCGATCCTCAACATCATTGTTGCGGCGCGCAACCCGATCCTCAACATCATTTAACAGTCTGACTTCCCAAACAACAGTCACAATTAAGGGGCATAAAATAAGCAAATATTTGACAACCATCCCGGCAAGGGAAAGAATCCAACAAGTTCAATCAAACGTCCCGACAAGGGAATAATCAACAACGCTTTCTCTTTCTTACTTTCCTTATCTTATAATTTACTTTACTATTTTGAGCCAACGCTCCAAAGAATCAAGTCATTTCGTATACTTTCAATATTCGTATCACAATTCGAGCCAATGCTCCAGGAATCAAATGATCCTATTAGCATTCACATGTTATTCACAACATATAGAAATCCTCCAATAAACACGGAGTTCATAACCAAATCATGATAATCACATTATAAGGACTCACGGTCATGCTAGACACCAACGTATAGATACTCGTCACCATGCCTATACATCGTACTCGATCACATAGCAATTAGCAACAAGACTCAACTCCTATTCCCTCAAGTTAGGGTTAAACCAAACACTTACCTCAAAGCCTTGAAATCCACTTAATCCTCAACTATCGCTTTACCTCGTGATTCCACCTCCAATACAGTGATATCTAGGTATAATTAATTCAACAATATCAATAAAGACTCAATGACAACTTCTCATAGCCTAGATATGAATTTTCTAGCATTATTCCAAAAATACCAAAATTAGACACCGGGCTCACATGGTCCAAACTCTAGGCTCGGACCAAAACCCGATCACCCATAACCCCACGAGTGCAAATATATAATTTATTTTTAAGATTCGACCCCAAATTGAGGTTGAATCACCCAAAATTCTCAAAACCCTAACTCTACCCAAAACCCATAATTTCTACCTTGATTTTATGTTTTTAGGGCTAGGAATTCACTAATTAATGAAGGAAATTGAAGGAAACAAGTTGAACAATGCTTACCCAAGAAGTTTTGATGAAAGGGAGCTTCAATGGACGCCTAAGTGCTTGGAGAAGAAAGGGTTTCGTGTGTTTTTATGAAAAATCCCGTGCTACTGTTCTGTTTTTAACTTAATAATTCGCTGGGCAAAATTGCCCTACGCGATCGCGGAAATAGGGATGCGATCGCGAAGGGTACCACTGACTGGTCATCGCGATCGCGTAGAAGAACTACTGGGGGTCCAAGGATTTGGCTTACGCGATCGCGTGGTTCAAGACGCGATCGCGAAGGAAGACGACTCAGTGCTATGCGATCGCGTGGGGAAGAGCGCGATCGCGAAGAAGGAAATCCCTGTGTAAAAATTGCAGAAAATCTGATATCATCCTAAGTCCAAAACCACCCCGAACACCTCCGAAAACACTCCCGAGCCCTCGGGGCTCCTAACCAATCACACACCCTAACTCAATAACATCTTACGAACTTACTCGAGCGATCAAATCGCCAAAATAACCTCAAAATCATTGGATCAAGCCTCAAAATCATCATTTTTCTTTCAAACTTCATAAACTTCAAACTTTAGATATTTAGGTCCGAAACACGTCAAACATTTCGACCAAACTTTACAGAAAGCGCTTAACACATATTTAAGACTAATACCGGGCGTCGGAACCAAAATACGATCCCGATACCACAGTCTTTTAATCAATTTTCATTTCCATTTTCCTTAATAATTTCAGAAAAATAATTTCACAGAAAAATTCATTTCTCGGGCTCTAGACCTCGGAATTTGACTCCGGGCACATGCCCGAGTCCCATATTTTTCTACGGACCTTCCGGGACCGTCCAATCTCGAGTCCGGGTCCGTTTACCAAAAATGTTGACCGAAGTCAACCTTAAACATATTAATATCAAAATTCTTCAAATTTTTCACAAAATTCACATATTTCAACATAAAAGCTTTTCCGGCTACGCGCCCGGACTGTGCACGCAAATCGAGGCAAGTAAAAATGAGGTTTTCAAGGCCTCGGAAGCACAGAATGAATGAGGAAACAGGTGATGACCCTTTGGGTCGTCACAAAGTAGGCGTTTGGACATAAGAATTGTAAAATTCCAAAAAATGGTAAAAAAAAAATTCAAGTGAAAATGGTATTTGAAATTTAGAGTTGTGTTTGGACATAAATTTCAGTTTGGGTTGTTTTTGAAGTTTTGTGAGTGATTTGAGTGAAAATTTTGAAAAACAGCTTTTTGGAGTTTTTTCAAATTTTTGAAAATTTTCAAAATGCATCTTCAAGTGAAAACTTGAAATTTTATGAACAAACGCTGATTTCGGAAAAAGTAAAATTTTCTTGGAACTTTTTTTTTTTGTATGTCCAAACGTGCTCTTATAAGTTACTCCCTATTTGTTTCAATTCGTATGATATACAATTTTTAAGACTTGCAATCTTTGATATGTCATAATATTCGTGTGACTTTAAAACTTCTGAAACATTTTTATTGTCATAAATTTTTTTCATTAAAGATAATAATTTTTTTTAAATAATTAGTTTTAATTATAAAAAATACTGTTCTTTGAAATAAACTAATAAGAAAATAGTGCCATATATTGTTATGAAATACATGAAAAATGCCCGCACAGTCCCACTGTAGGTACTTTGGTTCAGACATAGTTATGAAAAATTATGACCAAAAAAAAAAAAAAATGTTCAATCCTTTATAAATATATTAAGGTGACCTTGTATTTTTTAGGCAAGTAACATTCTACATTGTCAAAAGATGCCAATAAGGTCATTGTGCTAATTGCTTCTCGATCCCAGAGTTTCAAGACTATGATTTAAATAAAAATTTATCCCATTATCTAGTATACACCAAACAAATGTTTATATTATGCCACGTGTATCTTATTTTAAGGCCAAAAGAACCAAACATCTACCAATAAAAATATATCCCCTTACTCATTCCAACATTATTTAATATCCTTAATATAATTCTATTACTATAATCCCGGGGATGACTTGTTTCCCAACCAAATGACCCATGAGTGTCCAGGAACTTTCATAACTACAAGGCGTATAAGAATATATAACATTCAATACTGCCATTTGCAAATTTACACTATATACAATAAAGGTTTTCTCCTATCCTGATCAAGTTGGCAAAAGTCAATCAAAATGACAGAATAATCTCTTATTTTAAGCCTAAAAGAATAAAAACCTTATCACAACACAATCACTCATTTCCTAATAGTCTCTCATCATCTTTTCTTGTATTTCTTTTATTCCCTCTATAAATATGGTTTTTTCACTCAGAAATTAACTTCTTCAAAAAAAAATTGTGAAAACAAAGTTAATGTAATAAAGACCATCAATAGCAATCTTCGCCAAAATCAGTTTTAAAAATCATAAATCTTTTAAATAACGATATATTAACGGTATATATAAGTTTTATATAAGCACATAAATAGATTATATCACATTATAATACTTAAATATGTATAATATGTTTATATATATATATATATATATATATATATATATATATATATATATATATATATATATATATATATATATTAATATACCGTTTACATTTGCAGTAACATATACATATTTGTGTATGTGTACTTTGCCAAGTATATATATTAATATACCACAAATATTAAGTATACTATTTGTATATATCATATATTATATGTATATACTTATATACTATACGTATATATTCACCTTCGGTTAATGTCAAACTCCTCAAGTAACACTTTCTTCGTTGTTTTGTCGAAGACAGTAACATAAAGGTTGTCAAGATCTTGAAAAAAGTGAACAAATATTATCTAAAGAAGAATAATTTAGAAGTTATAAAATTTTATAGACAAGTACAGATTTTCAAGTTGATTTATGATATTA